ACGTACCCACTGGCCCATTGGCCACTGCAAACGAGGAAAGAGACCATTCGATCTCATCTTTGTAGACTTTGTCACAATGCCCAACTCAAAGGGGAAACGCTACATCCTAACCATATTGGATAGCTTCAGCCGACATTTTACAGCCATACCATGCACGAGAGACCGTGCTATCGACGCCACCATGGATTGTACCATTTCTTCCTTCGACACAGAGAGAGATTCCACGCATAGTATCCTCTGATCGAGGCACACACTTCACTGGAGAAGTCTATCGACAATTCTGTAACCAGATGTCAATCACGCAAGAACTTCACTGTCCTTGGCGCCCGCAAAGCTCAGGAAATATCGAGAGACAACATCGCATGATGAAGAACGCACTTTATATGTTATGTGAAGACAGGAACTGTGAATGGACAGACGTTTTAGAATCTGTTGTTTCGTCTATGAATGCCACAACCAACAGCGACACCGGTGTCTCCCCGCATTATGCCATTACCGGCCGTCACCCTAACATTGGCCTACCTACACTACACAGAAAAGAAATCGCAAGACGATCCTGGAGCATATGGAATGCAAATTAATGCCCTGCCAAAGCAGGTTCACCACCACGTCACCCTGGCCAACGATGAAGCCGATCACAAACTTGAGACCAACTTAAATCGCCTCACATACAAGGACCCAATACAAGTAGGCGACAAGGTTTTACTTCATCGGCCACCCTCAACTGTAGCCCAATCCTCTCATCTTCCTTGGATAGGAAATTACACCATTATAAAAACGAACAATATGATGTGTCAGGTGCAAAACGATGATGGTGATACAATCTGGATTCACCGTGCACATATCCGACGACTGGCTCCACACCCAACACATCTTTCTGATACAATCCCTCTGCCTCCACCATGTAACAGTCACCAGGATCATTCTCCTCTACATTCCTCGGGGACACATAACTCAGCAAATAACCCCATACCAAAACAGATGCCAATAAGAAGAACACGAGGACAACTTCCCACATGCTTCAGAGACTTTATCATGAATTAATCACCCAAATATACATGAATAACGCTCACTGTAAATGAGACCGAGATCTGGGGGAGCCTTGTTATAAAATAAGACATATCTCGGCTGATTTACAGGCAAATACTCAAGAGCAAGAACCGGATGTGAACGGGACAAAGCCCCGTCACAAAATGACCATTATCTTTCTTCACAAATGTTTCCGACACACATGTTCCGGTCGAAAAATAAAATGATATTTAAAGTGCTCTATTTTTCATCCAATAAAAATGCTTCCCTCCTAATTATACTTGCTTCGTTTCTCAAGCCTGTTAAGCCATAAAAAAACACTAAAAGGGGTCACAGGGAAGTTCAACAGGCAGTCAACAGGTGGCCACAAAGGAGACTGGTCACATTCAGCAGCTGTCAGCAGGAGAGCACCAACCACCGTCAACATGTGTGAGAGATCGACCAGATCCGAAAACCGGCTTATGAACTTTACCACAAGGTAGCTGTCCCAAAACCTCACGTTCCTGTTGAAATAAACCACATAAATCTATTTCTGCTGTTGTCGTATTTCTTTCTTGCAACCATACGTTTGTCTATAACATGTATGTAATCCTGATGAGGTACTGGACAAAATCATTATATGTGGTTGGCTGGCAGTTGAGGATAGAAATTACTGCATGTGGCAGATATATGTATGGTGGACCACCAGTAAAAAATGGCCAAATGTAGAATTTGGAGTATTTAAGTATTCTTGATATTGCAGAAACATTCACTGTCTCAGTTTGCAGTGCCTTCTAATTGACCTCAAAAGCTTAGTCCCTGGCCTCATGACCTGTTTGATACTAAGTATAGGAAATGATGCAATTTCCCCATCAAGAAAAGTTCAAGAAAAATCAGATCAACTTTGGTGCAATTCTTAATATATAAAAAAATGCCTATGCATGTTTTCTAAAAAAAAATAAAACACTCAACTAGACTTTTTGACCAATTAGGTGTACAAAAAAAATGTGATTGCTTCATAAGAAATTTGTGGAGCTAATGTGTGTAATCCCATCAGATCATTTAAATAATGAAAATATTTTCAAAATGCTTCAGAACAGCTTACTTGTCCAGCAAGATGAAATACAACTGTCTCTCACCACAAGCCTACTACTTTGACTATTGAATGAACAGTATCAAATTATAATTCTCAACTTGGCGATAATGCCAGGCGGCTAGTGATACTTCTGTGACTCTCAGAGACTTTAAAGAAAAACAAAAACGATTAATTTTTGTTCTCAGATATTTCCACATTTCTTGTGTAAAAAAAACAAAATTCTCTATTTTGTAGCACTCATGTTAAATCATTTTCAATTAACATTAGTTCCACTACACGAAATCTGTTCAGTTATCAGTTGGCAACTGACTGTTCTGTTTTTAGCTGTAATAAAAAGGGTTATGAATCATATTGGGATTTTAATTAAGTTTCTAACACTAGAATTCATTAACTCATCCTCACCTTCCCAGCCCTGACAAGAAGTTCACTCTTGATTAGTAATTTGAAATTTAGATGAATTTATTGCTTTTTATGATACAACAAAATCATTTCTGCAAATAACCTTGAAAAGAATATAACAGTTTTAAAGAATGAAGATACAACCATTTATCAGTAATAGTTTGGCTATTATTTTCATATTATTATGGTAATAAAGAGTATAACAATTGTGTGTGTGTGTGTATATATATATATATATATATATATATATATACACACACACACACAATGTAAAGTGTAATAAGTGACCATATATATTTGTCCAAGAGTTGGACAAAATGATTGATGATAGACTGGAAAAGACAAAGTCTTTGGTAGACCCTAGAAATTTTTCTACAGCAATAAGAAACTCAAGATAGAAAAAAAGAATTTACAGAGCTTTTGCACTATCTACTCTTACTTATGAAGCTGAATCCTCAAAAATCTATCACAATCAACTATGCCTTGTTGAATGTTTCAATGTGCACTAGAGTAACTTTGTGGAAGGTTGAGGTAGGATGGAGGTTACTTTGTAAATATATTCAATTTTTTCAAAAAGAAAAAGAAAAGAAGAAAGCAGATAAAGTGTAAATCCAAAATTTTTATCTTCCAGAAATTGTTTTTTACAAAAAAAAAATTCTTTTCAGTTTTCATACAATAGAAAATAAACTATACACAGGAAGATTTCTTAATGTCTCTTCTTATTACTTTGACTTGGACTGTTACATTGACTGTTGTTCAGGCTATCACTTGGACTGATTACTTGATATGTTGTTCTTTTATTTATACAAGGCATGTTGATGTAGTAGTAGACACATGAATGCACATGGATATCTAACAAAAAAAATGCTCAGCTCAGTTTTAATGTGTATTACTTGAAGAGTATAAAATTTCTAATAATTTAAAAACTATATGTGCTTAAAAGCTGAAACTTTGCAGATGAATAATTTGGTATATGCTGTAAAAATTTTATCTTTCTCTTTAAAGTATAACTAAATTTTATTTTAAGTTGGTATCTACTCAGTCAGGATATCATGTTTTATTAATAAGTTCTAATAAAAAAGTTTTTTTTTATTTTGTCTGAGACGGCTTTAAAATTATTTGTTTATATTTCAGGCACATTTTAAATAACAGTAAATATAGTAGTAGTTCATATGCACTTTCAATTTTGAATGTAAAAACAATTTCTTGGTTTTGCACATTTTAAATAAGAAAAGATCATAACCTAGCCTTAGACAGTTAAATCTCAATTATATGTTTCACAATTTAATTAATAGAACATGTTCCAAGAATATGTCTGTTATACTTTGAATCTGTCTAATTTGTTTTACCAAATCTTAATTTATACAGATTTTTAAAATTTTTCTCTACAAACACTACTATTATTACAAACACTTAATTCTTAGCCACTCTTAATCTCAGAAAGCAATACGACAAATTTTTATAGTCACTGCTCATGAGCCTTGATATGCCTTTATATTCATGGATGTAAAGAGATCGTAAATGCTCTTCAGCTGTGATTTGATTGGATAGAAAATATTTGTTATTCCATCAAAATTTTATTACTTACTGGTAATTGTTTTAATATTGTATATTTTTACAAACTTAATCTTTTTATATTGTATTTGACTTTGGTATTCAATAAGATGGTTGCAACAGTATTTTTGAATAAGTTGGTGCTGAAAAGTTCTTGGCCTGACCCACTTCACAAAATCAATATTTAAATAAACTAATTTATTTACAAAGAGTACCTGTGAAAATTTCATGGTTTTCCTATTTGAATTTTCTGATGAATCCTAATTCTTAAGTTAATGATTAAGTTCTTTGTGACAATAAATTGCCTGTGGAAATTCCTTTATTGCATCATTAGATATTTGAGCTGAATAACTTTAACAAAATATTGCAATAATAATCCTAAGTATGAATGCAGGTCATTATTTAAAGAAGCAAAAGGTTCAAATTAAAAGATTCAAAATTGACAAGGAGTTTCCATTTCACTGAAGCAGACATTAAACACATGAGAGCATTATTGCATCTTCTATGTTTTCTATCTTTCATTCTTTTTTATTATAATGTGTTTTCTTTTTTTCACTAAAACCAAACAGTGTCTCTGATATATAAGAAACTTTATGTATTTATTTGCTATCAAAATGGAATGATTCATTCTTTATCTCAAGTAATGGTAGAGTGTAACATACATTTCAACTTACTAAGGCAGAAATATATGATTTTTTCTTTTTTCTTTTTAAATTTTTTTGAATGGTCAGTGAAACTTGTGAAATGATATTCCAATTGTATTGAACTGCAAGATAAATATGTGAAATAGCATGGATGTTTCAGGGTTGTTGGTAATTATTCTTGGCCAGGTTGAGATCTTTTCAGCACCCTATTGTAGGTTATGTCTTTCTTTTCTTTAGATATATTAAATACATTTGTAACTATTACACTGAATGCTGGAATGTGTACATATTGTTTGTAGATTTTCTGGGCCTGGAGAACTGAGTGGATTTGGTTTTGAATTAACTCTGCGACTGAAGAAAGAAGAAAATGAAACCAGCCCACCAATGTGGCCTGCAAGTCTTCTTAATAAGTTGGCAAATTATGTCTTTCAAACAGGTGAGTAAGCATATACCAAGCACTCAGACACAATACAGGATATGCCTTTCTCTTACAAGAAAATCATATGTATTTAATGCTTTAAAACTAACTGCTGTGACAGGGATTCTTCAATTATTTGATGGTGAAGAGGAGATATATTTTCAGTAAGATCTCTCTATTACATTTCCAGGGAGATTGATTGGATAGATAGAAATTGTTGAATACCCACTGTGTTCATCAGATTTAAAACCATTTGATTTCTTCTTATTGGAAACTTTTTAGACAAATCATTCATATGTAAAATTATTGTTTATTAAACTCTGGAATTCATCGATTAATATCAGCAAGTGGATACAGGGCATTGTTTTTCTTTTGTTTTTCTCCAAATGAGGATTCTTCTTCTCACAAGGATGTGAGAGACTTTCTCTTTTCTGCCTCAGGTCAGACACTTATATATTTTCCTGTTATCCTATGTGAGCATATCCTGTGAAGCTAGGTTGACCACCTGTCTATATATCAGGGCCAATGTCTGACATCTTGTGAGGCATGAATCTTCATCTCACACCTAAAAGTTCACATTCCAGGTCAACCTGCTCTGATGTAAAACTGAGTGTAAAGTCTATTTCGGTATTGTCTGTGGTGAGCCCACTACATATTAGTCATACTAGATCAACTTCTCTTTAGAACAAAGGTTCCTTATTGACATTATATTCATTTCAGACCATCTGGTATTTCCTGGCATGAATCACATACTGTATTAGCACCAAATCCATTTTAACCTGATATACATGAGCATGATTTCAGCTTTTACCATCATCATTCAATTACTGTTAATCCACCAAGGAGGCATAGTGGTGTAATGGATAGTGGCTCAGATTGAGGAAACAGAGAACTGAGTTCGAATTCCAGTCAAGTTTGTTACATTCACTTATATGCAATTACCCTTGGGAAAAGGATGAAAACATCTTCTCAGTTGTGAATAAATAGCAGGACTATAGCCTTAGGTGGCAACTGGTCTAGGAGAAGGACAACTCTGAATTCAAAAACTCAACTATAGGTTAAATAGTCTCATATCAACCCACAATTGGCTAAGTATGTTGAATATGGCTACATACCCCTGAAGACATCATCAATCAGATAGGGGTTTCTCTAACAGGAGTGAGAAAGACCTGTATATGGATTTAGATATTCCACCACTCCATCATATTTAACATGGAAGTAAAATATATCTATGCTTTTTACATCCAAAAATAGGGAGTTGTAATGTATACAAATAAACCTGCTATAAGTAATATTGTACTAGCACCTCAGGAAATTGTGGTATAGCACAGAGCACTTTGGGTATGAACAAGGGGTAGGGTGATTTTGGATTGCTTTTATGTCAAGGTTCCTTCTCAAGAGGTTTCCTTCTCTTAGACTGGTCACCACCCTATAACAGGTTGGTTGGAGGCATAGTAAGCTACTTGTCATGGCACTCAATTACAACTAGTTGGTTTGCTGCACCAAATAAAACTGGGTGGATCTGGTAATTTTTTAGTATCAGCAAACTACATCACGCTGGGAACAAATGCCAGCAAAGGCTAGTAGTTTTCTCTGTCCTACTTGAACAGAGTAAACCTTTCCCAATTCCACCTGTCTGTTTGACAGTGATCATCAGTAGTTGGACCCAAATTCTGTTGCTGTGTCCCTGTAGAAAATCAATGAAATTAATCTACACAGAGCATGGTAATGCTTTGCTTCTGGTTATGGTCAAGTTATTGGTGGTCGGCTTGAGGGGAAAGAAAAATTATTTGATAAACAAACCAAATGTGTTCTGTAAACTTAACAGAATTTAATGTGAAGAGAAAAAAATAAGTCTACAGAATTTAACTTATATGAAATGATACCTGAGGATTTTCTCTGTATTCACTGTGTCTGTGTGTTCAACAAAATACAAGTGTGTCATCAAATCTTGCTCATCTGCTACCCTTATGGAAAATGACTACCACGCAAAATGAGCATTGGCTTTATACAGGGAAAATCTTTCCTGATAACAATGAGTAAAGACTTTACTTTATCTAGCCAGGCCCCAGAAAATGACAATTTACAATGCTCATACCTCACATTTCATTATCTCTATATTTCTGTAAATTAACCAGATGGCTCTCTCACTGGTGAAGGATTTCCTGCCAGAAATCCAAAATAATGATAATTATAAAAATTTCAAATGTTTGCCACAGAAAAAGGACATCTGGTTTCTCCAAAGTTTTGAGCTTCAAATTAATTTCACCCTTATCAGTTTTCAAACCTTGTACTAACCCTTTTCAAACAGACACTGTGACCACCCAGGTGGAGTTTATAAAAAGCATATCCAAGTGCTAGCTCTCAGCACACCAACTCCATTATATCCAAAAGGTAATTTGCATTGATATCTGCGCTTGAAAATACAGTAATCTTACTTTATCAGCCATCAACATAACTTCTCGCTTCTAATTTTTGGTCCAGGGTTCATACCCTCCTGAAGCCAGATTTGAATTTGCCAAACCATGTTTTCATTTTCTGTTTATTTAAATTTTAACCCTCACACTGCATTTTTACATTTTTACTTATGAAACGTCAGTTTCAGGGTTGTTACCCTGTTAAACCCACAAGGTAAGAGACCACAGTCTACTCTCCTGTTTAACCCATAGCTGTGTCTGTTTTCATTTATTTAGGGAATATTCTTGATGTGGGTGATCACATTCCCTGGCATAAATCTCTTGATGAAGACCCAGAAAGCAAGAGCATTATTCGACATATGCTGATAACTGAAGATCCTGAATTGACTCTCTTAGATACACCCCATGGATCCTTAGAGTTCAGACAGGTATTGTACTTTTATCTGTTTTTTTTTTAATTTATGCTAACCAATTAATATATAAATGACCTTACTTCATTTGTGTCTCTCTAAAATGTGGGCAATCATGGCTCTGCACAACTTCCTATTCCTCATGACCCTTAGCAGCATTTCTCCTTTTACCAAGACTCCCTCCTCCTGTTCCACCATCCATTGTTTATTTACAAGAATAATTTTACATTAAAAAAATTCTAAAAACTAATACAATTAGAACTAATGTAATGCAATATTTATCATTTACCAACTTATAAAGAAATAAATGTGAAAACGATTTTTTATTGGTAAATTTATAAATATTTACTAAATTATTAAAATATATGAATCAACTATAAAGAAATCCTTATTATTTACCATTTTATAAAGTTTGAATCAGTTAGCAATTAGCCAATGTTTTGCCAACCATTCCAATCAATAATATAATAAACAATTTAGTAAATAAATAGTGTTTATTATTTTTGTTGTAAATTCTCAAGAACAAAAAAATGTGTAAATTCACTTTTATTATATGTTTAGATTTAATTATGATTTTAATAGTTGCTTTTTAAAACAGTAAACATTACTGAAGAGTGAAGGTAGTTAAAATAAAGCAGTGTCATGTGAAAAAGCATCCTTTTCACACTCTGTCTTATTGTGGGCACATTTGTCTCTGTTTGCCCAATTTTCATGCACCACCTTTATTTCCACTGATGAAGAAATTTGCATATGTCACTTTTCAAATTAGTTCCCCTAATTTATTCTTTTGAAAGAGATGGAGGAACATATGGAATGATAAAGGAAAGGCATTACCATGTAATGCCTTTCCTTTATCATTCCATAAGATCCTCCATTTCTTTCAAAAGAATAAATTTTTCAGTTGCTCATAAAGCCACATCTGCACGATTTGATTGTTTGGGCATTTAGCACACAAACTTTATGGTACTCACATCATCATGCACTATGACTTGTGCAGATCCATAGCTGATAACTACAGCTGCCACCACTTCTGCTAATGTGATTCGTTGGTCTTCCCTAATTAAGGCATCCACCATCTAGATGTGTTCTTTTCTGCACGGTGTTGATGGGTGACCAGATTAGCTTTCGTTCACTATACTTGTACTTCCTGCTTTAAAGCATTTCACCAACTCATACATCCTTTGTTACTTCATGGTGTGTGCTCCATACTGCCACAACATCCAGTGATAGATATCCACAGGTTCACAGAAAGCGCATTATGGCATGTTGTTCCTCAATGATGCAACCATTGAATGGATTGTCTGACAATGTTATTCCCTGTCACTCAACTGAATGATGGATGGCAGCTAGTTACCTATCATCATATATGGTGTTGCATGTCAGTGACTCCCTGTTTTCTTTACTGCATAATTTCAAAATTACCTTTACTTTCTAATTTACCCCTGTATGTATAACTTTCATGTCTTCCTTCAGTAATCACCTTATATCATTAAATTGTAATATAAAAATTCTTTCAATAAAACAGTTTGAGTATACAGTGTGAAATAAATGCACTTCTGCATAATCAGAATTAACTGAATTGGTGCATTATGAATTTTTTATTATTTAGTTGTTTTCTTCAGCATAGAAAAATAAAAAGAGACAGCTTAAATTTCATAATGAGGAAAGTGGGGGTGGAGAATTTGACAGTCTCAGGACATACCGAAGGCAAGAGGGACAGAGGAAAGCAAGGAGTAGTAACCTACCTAATGAGCATGATGGTAAAATAGGGATAGACAGGGAGGGATGGTGAAAAAAACAAACTTTATTAAGAGCTACAAAGTGTAGAAAATTATGAAAAGCCATGATTAGCCTCATCTTGAAGGTATATAGCACCTAAAAGAAAAAAGAACATTAAAAATTTATTTTATTCTTTTAGAAATATTTTAAGCTGAATAGAAGACGTACAACAGATATATATGAATACAATTTCTGCCTCTTAGGTGATTGGTGTGACAGATGATGAAGTGAAGGCAGCTCAACATTGGCAAGGTTCTGGCATTCTGGAACTCTTGAAAAATTCTTCAGCGTAAGTATTATATTTTGATTTACTGAGTCCATTCTTTATGTATTCCTTTGATAAGAAGGATATTCTACTCTAGAAACGTCTTCCCAAGAACCACTACTTTGTGAAACATACTACTGTATTGATGCTTTCCTGAACGCTACAATTGTAATCTATTCAAGCCTAGGGTCAATAGTTATCTATCCATTTACATCTTCATAAAAAGAGTGTTCCACTGAAAGCCTTTCCCAAGAACTGCTACTTTCTGGAACAGACACCTCTGGTGATGCTTTCCCAAACACTACAATCTTAACCTATGCAACTCTAGGGTTCTTCAGTTATCAGTAGATAGGGGAAACTAACATTCCTCAGTGAGTTACCACAAGGTACTACATCTTGGAGCAAGGAGGAGAACGAGAGTGAGGCAGGAAATATTTGCCTTTTGACAAGCTTCAACAAAGCCACCTATGTTAGGTGAAATCAAGTAGGGTAATCATATTTCCATGGGAAAATGTATTTCTTCTTTTTATTACTCATTATTATTATTATTTTAGTTATTGATTTTATTTCATTTCTCAACAGTCATTATCTATCTACCATATCCAGATAATCTTCATTTTCTACTTCTTCCTCTTACATTGATGTCACAGACCTCATTCAATAACCCTCTACCTTGAGTGGCTCTTGGTTCTTGTATTGGATGAACTTTAGTAATAAAAAATTCTCACACTAATTTCTTTTCGTCTTTTATGTCCCACAGTCATTATCTATTGTTGGTTTTATAAATTGTACAAATGTGAAATGTAAGAAGGAAATGATGCTCAATTAATTCCTGTTCAGGTACATTTGCATTATTTCAACACACACACACACGCACACACACACACACACACACACACAGAGATTGCCTATGGTTTACACTGCAGCTATGCTGATCAGATCTTAGTTGCTGTTTCTAGGAGAAAGCATATAATCTGGTATGATAAGTAGTTGAACAAGCCCAGCATGCTCAAGTCCTTGATCACAATAACTTGTGAATTCATACTAAAAATATTATAAAAGAATACTAATTGCCAAAAATTGTAATTTCTTTAAATTCTAGTTTATATATAGTTTGGTTGTATTAATTTCTTTTAAAATTTTGTAAAAATAAAAGTAAGCTTGATAGTACCTCAATAATAGTTAAATTTTATTATTACTACTTTAATGAGTTCAAATCACAGTTATGTTATACCATGCCTAGGCTAAGTTTAATAGATGTGGAAGAAAATTAGTGTAGCTTAGTTTGGCACAAGATCACAAGTATAGGGTATAGAATATAAACTTCTATATTTTACGGCCAATAAGTGAAGCACAAGCAAGTTAGTGATGTTTACAAAATTTTTCTGAATTCAGTAGATAGGAAAAACATTTTTACAATTCCATACAAACACTGCTCCAAATTAAATAAGTGATTTCTGAAACTTGATTGGATAGGACAAGTCACATGATATGCTCTCTACTAAATCCAAGCAGTTGAACTTCAAATGACCTGGAAAAAGGTCAGGGTGCTGGTTACTAAGTACATTCACATGCAAAACTCAGATAGTGATTCAGAGCTGACCCAAAGCAATAAAAACGGCTTATGAGCAACAGACAAAAACAGTCAGTGAAGGACAGTTAGTGAAAGACAGTCAGCAAACCAGACCAAGTCAGACCAGGCCTCGATCAACAACATAGACACATGTACCATGACAACATTTAAGTCAATGATAATTTTTCTAGATACAACGCCACAATGAAAGTAAGCCTTGCCTCCCCTCTCTTTATTTACTGTGTTTTAAAATTACTGTTATCACATGCAATCATTCAGCAGTCAGACACATTTCATTAGCATGTGCTTCATTTATGCACACACACACACACACACACACACACACACATTTGCATACCATGCCACTTGATTTCCTCATTTGCAACAAAAACATTTTGAAAATTTGCAGACTCACTTGTGACAAATCATTTTGAACAGTTGAACTATTAGTTTCTTCATGGCCACAACAAAGAACATTGATTTTTTTAATATGTAAATACATTTTATGTGACTGTATGAATGTTACTGCCATATTTAACTTGGTCTTCTTCCTTTTCTGTGAAGATAATTTCTTTTGCATTGTTTATAATTTTGTTTTGTATTTGTGGACACAACACTCAGATTTTATTTTTCCACTTAAAATCTGGATAGATTGATCCCACGAGGACATCCAAAGATGGTTAAACTCACTATTCAGTAGTAATAGTCAACCAAGTTATCTACCATGGATCAAACTAATGTTACAGATCATTACTACTGAGTTCAATCCTGACTAAATGTTTTTCACTTGTCACTTTCTGTTCTGCTAAGTCAGGGCATCTCACTTGAAGTGGGAGGTATATCTACTGAGGAGGTAGATATACTGTCAAAAATGTTTTCAACAAAATGATACTAAACAAAAGCAAATACATGACAGGTTGAAATTTTATGAAATATTTATTCAATATAATTACATAAAGAAATAATAAAAGTCTGGCTGTGGAAAAGATACAGCTTTTGTTAGGGACAGCTTTTGTTTTGTCTACATTTTTTAACAAAGAAAAGCCCTACTTATTCACTGGCTGGAGAAGAGTACCTCCTCTTTAGGGTCAGTTACCATATGCAACAACAAAGAAAAATAAGAAGAGAGTATTTCTTAATTATTTATTTTCTTTCTTTTTGATAACATGGATTTTTAAAGGTAGAATAATTATAGAATACAGACAAATAATTTGTCTGTGTCTCCTGCAGCTATTGGGGCATAAATTTACTGCTTCACTAGAAAAACTGGTTAACATGTGTATGACAGACCATTTTTATTGTAATAAATTTGATTCTTACTGTGTATTCTAGTGGTCATATATTAAGTTCAGCAATGGTAGCTTGTGTATAGGCACTGTGGAACTGTAGCACCTCCCCTATTTTTATTCAATATTATTGATAACATTCAATATAATGAGTTTTTTTCTTTAATTCTTTCTTTATACTTGTACTTAATCCTTAAGCTTAAAGTCAGTAGCCATCCACTCATTCATGAAAGTTACAAAAATCCTTGTATGGAACTGTATGCTTCACAGTTCCAATAATGCAATGTTTGGCTGTTGTACCCAAGCAGACATGTCTGAAGAAAGAAGCTGGACACTGGTTACAGAGAGCACTGTCATTAACACAGTGCTGACCCTGTTCTCTGAGTGTAAGGTAGTGTTTATTTTTGACTCAGCATGTGTTATGCTTAAAAACCATGTGCCATATTCTTGAATGTGATAAACTGTAGATGACCATCATGCTACTAGGTATTCTATTTAATTTATTGGGTTTTTTTATCAGTTGTTTTATTGTATAGAAAATTTTAATAATTTGATCATGACTTCCTTGATTCCTCAAAAAATAAGTTCTGTGACAGTAAGTGAACTTCAACAGCTTATGTTTTCACAGTTGTTTCTCCATGAGAAAGTTACAATTAAGAAAAGTGGTCATTCAAGACCTGATATTAAAATATCTCAGCCAGGAATAAGCAACAAGAAGAGGTATATTTGTAGCTTTAATTCTGCATGCTATCAATGGAAAAGTTGGCTCAGTAGCTGTAAAGTGAAAAATGCATTGTTTTGTTTTCTGTGTTTGCTCTTTAGAGGTGATGTAATGTGGACAAAAGATAGTTTTAGAAATATAAACAAAATGAAAGAAAAAAACCCTGAAAAACATGAGAAGTCAAAGAAGGAAATGTAAATATTAAGGAGAAACTTAGCGAGGTCATACAGACTTTCAATCAATGAACATAACATGAAGGTTAAAAAGAACTGTGAAATTTTATCCAAAATAATAGACTGTATTTTATTTTGTGGAAACTTTGAAACTCCCTTACATGGACATGATGTTAAAGATGATTCAGTAAATCCAGGGGTATTTAGAGGATTCATAAATTTTGCATCTAAATTAGATCCTGATTTTAAGAATCATTTACAAACCATTATGGTTTTCAAAGGTGTATAAGACCATTCAGAATGAGATATTTGACTGCCTGCTAGATATACCATGAGGGGATAAGGATAGAAATTAGGAAAACTTTGTTTGTAGCCATCATGGCTGATGACACAACAGATATTTCAGAACACACTCAAATGGTCATTGTTCTATGGCACACATTGAATGAAGAAATATTTGAGGATTCAATATTCCAGAAAATCAAACTGCAGATGGCATATCAAATTATAAACAATTAGACATAATCCTTCAAGGAAATGGACAAAAACAGATAGCTCAGGCATTTGATGGTGCAAATGTCATGAAAGGCAAAAAAGGAGGAGTTCACTCAAAAATAAAAGTAGTTTATAGTATTACACATTTAATTCACTGTTATGTACATCAATTTAATGAGAAATGCAGCAAGTATGGAATGCAAGAATATTTTTCTCTGACATTTTGGCTATTCCAACATTCTTCTCAAGATCACAACAATGTGCATCCATTCTCAAGAAGCATATTGACGCCAACATTCAACATCCATCCTCTACAAAGAGGAAGTTTAACATATGAACCATGAACAGAATTCATGAAAATTTGCAACGTTTAAAAACTCAACATCAAATGCAGATCAAACAGAGCCAGAACACTGCTTTTCAACACTGAAAAGAATAAAAACTATCTTAAGGAGCACTATGAATTCTGACTAAATGCACTCTCAATAAAGAAAAAAATTCTTCAACAGTCATCCAAGTATCAAGGAGGAAATTATTAACCTTTTTGCTAAAAGTAAAACAAGAAGAATGGATTTCATTTTTAAATGAATCGATCAAGCATGAACTGTGACAATTTATGAGTAAAAATAATTTTTCATTTAGGATTTTATCAAGTTAATGTATAAATTTTCTTTTTATGTGTTTGTTTCATTTTACACAATATGAAACAATGGTTGAAAGTTTTCTGAAGCAGAACCCCCACTAATTTTAGCCACAAGCTGCCACTGAAGTTCAGTAAATATTACTAAAAGTAAGCTTTGACTCATTCCCTTATAAACAGGCATATTTTCATTTTCTTGTGTTGTGGGATCTGAATGTCAATGTTAGATAAACCCAACAAACATTAAAATTGAAGAAGTGACACAGGCTAAGGCCAGGATGTTAAGGACAAGGAGTTTAGGTAAAATAATCCAAAATTTATTATTGGCAGGAAAAATAAAAATACAATTGAAGAATGTTTTAAATATCCTGGGGGTCATGTTGGTAGTTAACTGTTGGTCGACAGTTGATGATGACCGGAGTAACTTGAGTGGTGCTGAAGGTGGTGTTGAAGTGGGTGTATTGGGTTGGTACTATCTGGCAGTCATAGCCCAGGGTGGCCGTTTGTTGGTAAGCAGAAGATGAAACTGCTTGGGAGGTGTCGAAGGATGATAGGCAAAGGTCAATAGACAGTTGATGTGTTGAGCTGGTACTAGCAGGCAGTCTTAGCTGAGGGTAGGTGGTTGAAACCACATTGATCTGCAAGATGATGGGCAGCAGAGAGTGAAACCTGAATCACCAAGCAGATTGGTAGAAGATGTGGTCAGTGAGAGTCAGTTGTTTGCTGATGATCCCTGGTCTGGATACTATCCAATCATCTTCTTCTCACCAGCCCCCGACATCCAAGGAGTGATTGGTCAATGCTGGTTTTATAATGTAGGAGTGTTACAACGCAGGGTTATGAAGCTACTTCCACTTAGAAATGAAAGTCATAAAAATAACTCTAGGTTATAAAGTATAATGTAATCGGTTATAATAAAACTACAAACAGGAAAGAAATAGTATTGGTTTTAAATAACCAGTGAAAAATGTCTCCAAAACAATGTACAGAATTAATAAACTTGAACAAACTGCTCAAGATTAAGTTGAAAGAGTTTGTTTGCTGTAACAAAAACAACAGAGCAGCATATAGCGTGTGTGTGTGTGTGTGTATGTATGTGTATGTATATATATATATATATATATATATATATATATATATTATTTTAATTGATACAATTTATTTAAGTGGCCAGTGGGAGTCAGTTGGTCTGTTAGCCAAGACAGCAAAGGTTTGTGTTGGTCAAGTTGGCTGCTGCTGCTGGTTGCTGTGCTGAGAGAGATGACACTGGCAGGCCAGCTACTGCTGATGGTGAGATTGCTGCTGCCGCTAGTCACTGGCTGCAGGATTGCTGTTGCTGCTGATGGCGATGTTTAATGTGGCTAGTGCTGGATGCTGGTCCCTAGTCCGGATATTACTTGGTCATCTTGGCCATCCCCAAGAAACCTGCCTCAATTCAGCATGCTGATTTTATGGTGTAGGAGTGTTCCATCAACGCAGAGTATTGAAGCTACTTCCACTTATAAATGAAAGTCATAAAAATAACTCTAGGTTATGAAGTATAATACAATTGGTTATAATAAAACTACAAACAGGAAACAAATGGTATTAGTTTTGGATAACCAGTGTAAAATGTCTCCAAAACTATGTACAGAATTAATAAACTCGAACAACCTGCTCATGGTTAAATTGAAAAAGTTTGTTTGCTGTAACAAAAACTAACTTGCTAATAGTGTTATTGATATTAATTTCAATCTTCATCACTGACATTTTTTTTCTTTTTGGTTATTGACAGAGTTGGGCCTTATTATATAACAGATCTTTACCGTGAAAAATCACTCTTTGAATTGGACCCAGAGTTAATCCAACTTGTGTCTGATGGTATTCGGAAAGATGGCTCAAATTTAGGTCATGTGACTGCAGTGTGTACTTGGAATGAAATAAAAAAGGAGTAAGTGTTCAATTCTTTTTGGAGACATTTTTGTCTTTTATTTAATGTTTCAATCTTATAACTTAATAAGGTTAAAAATGAAACTCGTTATTTTATATACTTGCTTAAAGGCTGCCAAAAAAAAAAAAAATAACGGGAACTAATTAAATTTTATTTGTATATAAAAATATGTAAAATCTCATTTCACAAAATAAAGGTATCATTATTTTAAACAAGAGTTGGTAATCTTTTCAGATTTTTTCCTCTTTCAATATTGATATGATTTTCTTTTTAATTTTTGTAACAAATCACATCATTATTAAGGAATTAACATAAATGCAAGCCCCACATGTTTAACATTAAGTAACAAATTGGACTGAAAATTATTTTATTCTTCAAGTTAAAACATTTTAACACTATTGCACTAAGAAAAATCTTTTTATGCTATATTGCATTAACAAACAAATGCAGCTCCAGAAAGAAGTTAAATCATTATAGTATAAAACTTAGCCAAATTATGGAGTAATTTATGGAGAAATAACATATAAATATAGGCATAAAAGCTAAACAAATAAACTAGAATTGGGGTTTCCTTTCTTCTTCTTAAAAGACATAAATAATTAATAAGAGAATTGTTAGAATAAATTAATTTCTCAATTAAAACAAAGCCTAAGAAGATTAGATTTATATTTTATAGATTTACTTTAATAAGGGTGAATATTATCTTCAAATATAAAGTAACAAGTGGGGTATAAAATTTGGTAAAAAAGGAAGGGAAAAAGAAGATGGCAAATAGTGATATACCAAACTAAAAAAAAAAGGTGAATACCTCAAAATAACCTCCCAAGAAACCAGAAGAAATAAATCCATGGTACAATATAGTTGCCTGGAAGAATTTAATTGGCTGATGACAGAACGGTCAAAAAACTTAAAAGAAAAAATACCAAAATGAAAAAAAACTCTTAAGCAAGCATGTCTGAAATATTTGTGGTGCAAGGCCACTGAGATCTTGTATTTGATCAGTACAAGCAGAAGTTATCCGGAGGAAAAAGTCTGATGTTGAAAAAAAACAAAACTGTTAATGAAGCCAGGAAAACATTACATCATCTAGGAGCATTTGAAGCATGTATGTTACAAATGAGGTGCACACTATAAGTCTCAATAAATATTAAAGAAAACCTTTTTTGCTACAACCAGGCAATAAAGACTCCTTATTTATGGGAGGAAGAACTTTATTTTTTGTTTGTTTTTAATGTGTTTAAGTTTTTCTTACAAAAAATTTAATAGCAAAATATTTGTGATGATACAAAAGCCACTGGAAATAAGTTTTTTTTTTTTTAATGTTTACAGCTGCAATAAAATGGTGTGAACATTTTAAAGAAAGGCATGCAATCATGAACTTTAAACTTGTCTGTGCTGAAAAATTACCACAGAAAAATTACTTGTCAATTTATTCAAGGCATTTTGAGAATGTTCTTCAAAGTTTAACACAAACTATTATGTACACATGCTGCCAGTGAATGCTCATTATAGATTTCACTTGTTTAAACTAAAACTTTTACTGTTCTTAAAAGTGACTATCAGGATTAATTTTTGTGAGAGTGACCATTACAACCTAGCAGTTGTGTTATTACAATATACGCAATGATTAGTTGCCTTGTTTTATCAACTAATTCACAAACAGTGAGTTTGAATCTCATAGATGCCCCTTCATATGCCAGAGTAAACTGTGCTTAGTAAATAACTATGTCACCTAACAGATGATCTCCAATTTACTTGTTTTTCTTGTCATACTCAATTCAGTCAGTTTTCTGATTCTTTTTTTTTATCACATTGTTTATTTTTAAGTGACAAGGAACAATCTACAGCTGAAAAAGAATCACCAGAGAAAGAGAAAAAAGAATCACCAGAGAAAGAGGAAAAAGAATCACCAGAGAAAGAGAATCCAGATAATGAATCATTCTCCAATGAAACCAAGACAGAACAGAGTGAGAAGTCATTAAATACGAAACCTGAAGAAGAGCAAGAAATAGGAGATGAAGAGCAACAGGATGGTGATGATGCTGACTCTAACCAACCAGCAAGAAGCATTGATGCAGTTGAAATTCTATTTGACTTGGAAGCAGCCGAGCTCTTGCCTGTTGTCATCAAGTATGTGTAAAATTATTTCTTTTTCTTCTCCTACTACTGCAAATGACTTGCTATGGTTATCGGATCGCTGTGTAGATGAGCACCTGACAAGCTCCTTCCACATGTCTCAGTTGATATAAGTTGAAAGTCAGAGGTATTCATTCATGTGTAGTGTGTACTAGGCAAGTAAACCTGGTGGAACCCATCCCTCTCCAGGTCAGTTTATAGGTGATTTCCTTCGACCTGAAGGCTCACCTTAGTCATGGATATTGGGGGTAGTCCTCCACTTTGGGTATAGACTTCAGTCTATGAAGTTCTCCATCCAGCAATGCCATGTCATTACCACTCTGGACATACTGCCAGTAATTCAATCCCATGTGCGAATTTAGTGTGCAATTGGTAAATCTGCACATCTTACCTACCTGCAGTATATCCAGAGTAGTGATTTGGCTTTACAAATGCTATATTTTGATCAGTTAATTATCCTGCTATTCCAAGTGAAGGAGTTAATCAGTTCATTAGCAACCATGTCTGAACACTAAAAGATTACTATTTAGTGCACAGACATGGTTGCAAAATTTGACAAAAATCAGTATAAATTGATATTTTAACACAATGTGTAAGTACATACTGTATTTTAGTCTTTTCGTGTATATTATCAATAAAAATAATAAAAATGAATGGAACAATTGGCTATAAGGGTTAAATAAGTATCCATAATTTTACATGGTAATTTGTAATAACACAGAAGCAGTGGCAGACTGGTTCTAAAAATATTGGCTACTAGGAGACAAAGGAGATTGCCCACAATTAACATGCTATCATTTAATTTTCATAATGAATAAATAACATTTTAAAAAAATACATGACAAAAAGGGTACAATTAATTTTTTGTGGAAATAATGTGTATTTCTTAGTAATTGAAGTGTATATGTATTGTAAATATTACTGGCTGTAGATACCAAGTGTAAATACAGAAAGTTATAATTGAATTCTTTATTTTTTTAATTTTAAGTAATTGGTTGATATTTTTAAATAGTTTACTGCACATTTTACACATTAATGGATAATTCAAAAGCACAATATAGTGTTGCTTGCAGTCCACTATATTAAGAGCAATTGTTTATGATCACTAGACGATTGTGCAAATCTTCCAATAATTGCTTCTGCATCCAATTCATCTAACAATTTCAGTTCACTGGATAGCAACATGTATGGTTCCAAATTCTCCACAGACTGAATTTCTTAATCTTGTCTTTATGATCTTTAGCTTTGAAAATGTCCTCTCGCATTGGTCTGTAGTAACTAATAGTGTGATGATGAATTTATAAAGTTATTATTCCTTTTTATTACTAAAATAATTGTCTGTTTTTGTTTCTTGTATTTTTATTTGATATATAAGACTCACTTGCCATTAGGCAAGCTGACACTGGCCAGTCTGCAATTGTATGGAAGGAATTTTAAATGCTGCTATTATTAAATAGAGTTTTAAATTTACATCTTAGAATGCATTCATAATAGGCTTTGTCAACCCATTACAAACATGGTTTTCTTTGTTTTAGTGCAAAAGTGAGGTTTTTCAAGTTTCTATAGTGTAAAATTTTAATTCTAAGGATGTAACATCTTGTTTTTAGTTTCCAAAATAAATGAAAATCTTTAGGCAATTCCTCTTGAAATAATGCTATCAATGTTTAATGTAAATAAGATGGTATTTCAACTATAAAAATTGTTGTAAACATGGACAAACGAGCCTGCAATAAAGACATAATGTCAAAAGGACGTTTATTTTTTCCCATGACACCGCTTTTTAACTACTTTTTTCTTTGTCAATGTTTATTGTTCTAAAAACTGATGATTTGAATGAAAATAAAACCTAAACATATGATGAAAGTGAATTTATACATTTTTGTTTTTTGTTCTTGAGAATTTAAAACAAAAATATTGAACACTATTTATTTATTTATTAGATTGTTTATTTACAAGAATAATTTTACATTTAAACCATTCTAAAAACTAATACAATTAGAACTAAATGCAATATTTATCACTTACCAATTTGTAAAGAAATAAATGTGAAAACAATTTTTTATTCATAAATTTATAAACATTTACTAAATTATTAAAATATATGAACCAGCTATAAGGGAATCCTTATTATTTACCATTTTATAAAATTCGAGTAAATTGGCAATTAGCCAATGTTTTGCCAACCATTCCAATAAATAATATCATAAATAAATAGTATAAATGAATAATCTAATAAATAAATAGTGTTTATTATTTTTGTTGTAAATTCTTGAGAAGACGCGCTGTCACCTCCCTATGTCTGTTCTACAAATACTTTCATAGAAATTGCTCCAAGGAGCTGCATTTGCTGGTTCCCAGATGTCTTGAGTTCAAGCGACCTACGAGGCTGGCATCCCACTCTCACCCCTTCACTGTCGAAACTCCTAAATGTAGCCGTCTCTTCTACTCCAATAGCTTCATGTCTCGCCTGTGGAACTCCCTTCCCTATTCCAGTTTCCCTGAGAGCTATAATCTCCAGCTATTCAAGTGTAATGTCAATCGACATTTCCAGTTGCCTTGATCTTTCCTCATCCTTTCTTCTATCACTCCTATCTGATCTTGCTCTAAATTTTCTGTAACCCCTTGTGTCCTAGTGGCTCCCCACCTTGCTTGGGGTGAAATGCTAAAAAAAAAAAAAAAACAAAGAAAATGTATAAATTCACATTTATATATTTAGTTTTTATTACAATTCTAATCATCACATTTTAAAACAATAAATATTGCTGAAGAGTGAAGGTAGTTAAAAAAGTGGTATCATGGAAAAACTGTCCTTTTCACACCGTCTTATTGCAAGCATGTTTGTCAAAAATGTATAAGTGAATTCTGTATAGATAACAAGGTGTAGCATTTATACATAATGAAGAAACTTTCCTGTCTACTCATTTGTGTTACTAGTGAAATAAATTATAAAAACATGTTGACCAACAAATCAATCTTTCTTTTGTTTCATGTTTAGGATTTAAAATTAAATATTCAGATATTCATGTCAGTGTCCTTGGTTATGTGTACCTATCCATAGTGTGTATAACAATTCTTACTGTCCCTCTTATAAGCAAAACAAAAGGCACTGATTTTACTGTATACATGCCTTACAATCTGCAGATCTATTTATAGTTTGTGCCCACCTATGGACTTATTGAATGTATATTGTTTGCAGTAGTCTTACAGGAAAGCTTTCTTCATAGAAAATAATAAAATATACAATCAGTCATGTAATTCTATTGCAATGGAAAATCTCTTTCTATGCCACACAGTTAAAATAAAGCTAGGACATTATAGTAAAAGTTATAGAAATGCAGAAGAGCAATGCCTTTCATAAGGAACAGTTTTTCATGAACGTTCTAATATTCAGCCTATTTTTCATCAAGAATTTATAAATTGATAAATAGATAAGCCGCTGTTAAAAATACAAAGCATTATGTTCTTTTGTATTATTAAAGATATTTGTTGTGTTTTATTCTGAAACTGAAAAATGCATTGTAGAATTTCTACAATTCCTTTGTAATTTTTGTCTTCTGAATATAAAATTTGTTTTAACAGGAAGGATTTTTTTAGCAATTTATGAACCCTTGAATTATTCTACTTCAGATCAGTGGTTTCACTAAATCTGTTAGGCAAGTGTCAAGCAATGAGTTGTGGGTTTCAACTGAATTCTCATAAAAGATAATTCAAACTTGGTACCACCACAGACTTACTAGAAAAACAAAAGAAACTAATTTTAAATAATCTAAATATCTTCTTTGAAATTAAATTTTGGTTTTATTATTTACTAAAGCTAATCTGTATTAAAAGAAAAACTAATTTCCATATATAAATAAAGTTTTTAGGCATTTTTGAAACACTGGCACATTCACTCATCACACCATTATTTTAAACAAAGAAGGTAAACAACAAATTTTAAAATCTCTAAAAAATCCAATATTTGTCCTAGAGATGTGTTTCAAAGTCAGTAAATTTAAGGATTAATTAACTGGATTTTGTAAATGTAATGCTTACTTTTTGCTTAGAACGCAATGAAAATAATGTTTATTTATGCATAGTAGCCTGTGAGGTTGGATGTGAACAACTATAAATATCTCTTTCAATCCCTTTCTTAAAAAGTGTGTGAAAACTTTTTTTTAAATTAAAAGGAATATTAAATACCAGCAGTACAATAATCAAGAAATTTGTATTTATTTTTAAAAAATAAATTATCTTTAATCCTATATTACCAATAATTTAAAAATATAATTTTTTATTCTATATGATTTTATGAAACATAATAGAATTAATAATTTTATTTTTTATACTACAGGGTGGTCCAAAAGTCTTGTCACCCTCACAGAAAAGTAATGAGAATAATAGAACAATAATACAAAACACATGTACTGGATTCAGTTTATTCACTTTCATTGCTGCTATCATACATCAAGAAGGTCTGTATGAACACTATTATTTTCATGGCACAAAATATTGCGATGCCATGTTCTGTGTGATATTTTACAAAGATGTGCTTCGTTGATTGTTACAGCTAATGGGTATTCTGGTATCGTTCATGTGAAACTCTCTCTCTCTCTTATAATACCCAACAGAGCATTGAAATGGAAAATTATATTATGTAAGCTAACAAGACTTTCAGGCCACCCTGTACATTAGAAATAGTTTTTTCTTTTTAGTTAAATGATATTTTTGAATACATTGTTTTTATTTCTTATTTTCTACCTGTTTGATTTCATAAAATATTTAACTGCAACCAATGTGGCTTTTTTTAATTATTCTGAATTTAAGTGTTATTGACTTATCATATTACTCTTCTGATAGGGAAAAATAGTCAAAGTTGATAAAATGAAAAAAATTTTAATGCTTTTAAAAAAGATTCACACTCAAAAAATGACATTAAACTTTGCATTTTTCAATTCATGAAACATCTCTTTATTTAATAAAAAGTCTCTTATGAACAGCAATGGGATAAATTTCAAAATCACATTGAAAAATTACAAGTAAATTTTTTTTTTTTTAAATAATTATCAAAGGGTTGGGGGGAAACAGACCCTCTGAATATTTTCATAAAGATTTCTAATAAAATAACTGATTCAGTATACAATTCATTCATTAATGAATATGTACTGAAATTTTTGTTTGAATCAGAGCATTCCCTGATTTCAAACAGGGAGTAGCAATTTTTTTTTTACTTTCATTTCAAAAAAAAAATGCTTCCATTCTGGTGGTGTATAATGTAAACCAACAAACACCTGCATTTTTTTAAATCAAATTTTATCTTTTTTTGGTTCCAGGGGCCGTTTGAAGAAAGGCCGATTTTTCGTGTTTCACAGTGCCGACAACCATGCAATCCACCTTGTGCCAACTCTTAACTCACCACAGGAAGTAATTTTCGTATCAGAAGAAGAACCAGTAAAAGCTGAAGGAACATATCTGCAGGTCAGTTCTAAACTTACTTCTTTCCATTCATTGTTTTCTTTTATCAAAAATTTTTTTCTCCAATATAAAATATTGGAGAAAAAAACATGTCAGATTACTTCAACTTGATATATTTGTAATGGAGTAACTTGATGACTAACATAAAACTCCTCAAGTTTAGAGAAATCACAAGCATGGAGACCATAATACATAAAATACATTTATGCTGAGTAGGTCTGCTGACATGCTCACAATTCAGCAAGACAAAAGAGTAGGTCAAGACCATGGCATCGACTACTGCCAATGCCATTGGGTCTGCTGATGAGAAAATATGTTGATAGTTTTGCAGAATCTTTTTTTGACAAAAACAAACAGAGCACCAGTGTTCAAGAGAAGAGACAAACTGTACACCCAATTTTCACTAGTAATTACTCCTAATCTTATATCTCAGACATTCCCTGCAGGTGCTGTGACAGGATATATCTATTCTGCACTGACCTCATCAGTCATCAGTAGGTCTGTATCAGAAGTAGAATACTTTTTTAGATCTTTATTCATGAAGCCAAAACCTACAACAACAATTTTTGATTCCAGTAAAGCTTTAGCTTCTAGAGATTTCTTTAATCTTAATTTGTCATTATTTACATGTAGACTATTGTCCTTTTAATGTCTTAATAAATGTATTATCAATAGCAGCCCAGAGAGTATAAAAACAAAGGAACCCTTAAGTAACTCTTTTTTGTTTCCTCCTTTTGAAATGTGTTATCAACATTTCACACCAAAGAAAAAAAAAAAAAAGTGGATGTGGATGCTTCACACACAAACACACCTACACAAGCAAGTGTCACCCAAAGACATTATCAACTTTCATTGTGTATTCCATTTATTTCTAGGTAAAGAACTCTTCAACGGTTTCTGTTATTTTGTGCATGTACTATTTCACTACCATTATATCATGTAAACTTAGAGATCTGTAGAAATCTTTTACATTAATTATAGAAGTAGTCAACATACTAAATCCTTATCATTGTTGAATTTGGTAACATAGTAATTGTAAGTTCAATCCCTGGGTCAGTCAGTGTAAATGGATTCAGTGGAAGTGGGGCAAGCAATAACTGAGATGTACTAAATAAGAATAAGATATTCCCAGACATGATCAGCAGAACAAGAACAATCTACCCTTGTAGATTAAATAAAAGGTTTTGTTTGAAATTCCCTGACAGTTACTCAGCTTGACAAGCACACGATGAAGGCCAGAGGACACAATAGCCAATACATTGTAATAATAACAACAAAGATGAAGATAATTGTCTGCATATAAATAATGTAAATTTAATCTTAAAAAGATTTAAATTTTAAAAAGATTTCAAAAATAAGTTGTTTTTTATTTTTTGTTTCTTTCAGATCTACTGCTCCCCTGTTTTTATTGACAAAATGGCTGATCAGGTTTGCATATTTGAACATTTAGATGCAGTAAGTATTTTCATAGTGCTTTTATTTATATACAAGTGTACCAGATATTTGAGATTATCTAACCTTATATTACATGATGTGCACTAAATGTTAATTTCTCTTTCAGATATATTGATATTTGTTTGTTTAATGGCATGTCAACTCCTTATAGGCCATTTAATCCCAAAATTCAATTTTCTTGGAGCTTTGATGTAATAAAGATATTATATATGCTATTCTGCTTTCACAATTGAATATATGGTAGATGATACTTAGCTTTTGTGCATATACATGTTTGTGTGGACATGTATATGATATATGCAAGGTGATGATATGTGTGTTTTATGTTGTGGTTTTGTTGAAGTTTTATTTTGGAATACATTTTAAGAAATTGTAAGATATGGATTAATGTCATGTTGGTTGATTTTGTTTAGTGGCATATCAACCTCTATGGTTTATATAATGCCGAAATCTAAATATATTAACATAATTTTATGGCTTCAACTAATTACATTTTTAACACAATTGTATGCTTTTAATTACAGAAAATGTATTGTTGGCAATTTTTTTATATAAAAAAATGTATTGCTGGTATTTTTACTATAAAGATGTACTTTTATAGTTTCATAGTGTTTTGTTGGGGGGGGTCACTATTTGCCCATAGCTGTGATCCTAACAGGAGCTACCACCCTGGGTCAGGGTGGACCTGGGAACAACAGCAATTAAGAAATGGTACCATCCTCTTCAAAACCTCCAATCTCCCATTCAGAGACCTTGCGGCTAGATGTAGTTAGATGTATTGAAAGCATTGACATGGTAATAGTAATGGTGAAATTACTTGTTTCCTTGTAAGAAAACATTTGGCATTCATTGACTGAACAGTTAGTGTTACTGTCAGTTGAAATTTATGGAATCTTTCTCTAAAAAGAGTTTTTCAGGAAAATAGGCTTCTCAAAACTACTATTATTGCTCTTTCTCGTATCTATGAAAGTTTCTTTGGTAACCTTTTGTTTAACCCTTTAGCATTCAACTCGCCCCGTATATATCAATGTTCAACCCACTGTAACCCATCCCATGTATTCTCTGCGATAATATAAAATGACATCATCACAAATAATGCAGGAAGAGAGAGAGCCAATATTTACAAGACAGCTTTGAGCGTGTTCAATGCTAAAGGATTAAGGCAGTGTGGAAAGTCAACATCTTGTTTATATCCTTCAGAAAAACTTATGGTGATACACACCAAGTTCATGTCACCTGTTATGACCTTGGGTGTCATGACCAAGACTGAGCTATGTCAGGCTGCCCCACTTTTTTTCACAGAGCCTCAACAGAGTCAATATTAACCTATATCACCATTATGAATTTGATAATTGTTTTAATGTTGTCTCAGGCCATAGTTATAGAACATATGAAAGAAGACTAAGTAGTTAAAATGAAGAAGAGGTTTATTAAAAACTCATACATAGAATGAAAAAGCATGAGTAAATCAACTACTCCGCAAATCCTACTTACCATATTTATAAGCAGGAGCAGTCCATTTTCACAGTTGTAGGGACGAGCAGGAAGTACACTGAATCCTACTCTACAACAATGGTTAACATGAATAAGACCACTTAATCTGACCATGCAGCTGCTTTTGTGGCCATATCAATGCCATCTTTAAGATTGAGGGTGGTTTTATTGAATAATATTTTCCTGTTTTTCTAAGTTCAACATCTGTATGAATCTTTAAAAAATATTCTGATTTGTTTTCTATTGAATATCTTTCTTTAAATTATTCTGATACTAACATGGTTCACCATGCATATTTCTGTGTAATCTGCTATTATACCAGAATTTAAGTATTGTGCTTGTTTCTCAATTGTTTTGCTTTTTTCTTTCTGACAAATCAGAAAAGTAGATATTAAACAAGGGATAAAATCTGTTTCCAAGTCTAATAACTAAAATTACTATCAGTTTTCAGGAATTTATATACAACAAATTCTGTTCATTTACATTATTTATCTTTGGGTTAATTTTGGTTGTTTTTATTGCAACATTTTGGCTTTCTTCAGGTATTTGTCTTTTGGCCTTCTTCAGGTATCCGTTGATCTTAGTAAACTTCAGGGAATTCCACTGCCCATGTTTTGGTCTATCTTGTCTCTTTCTTTTTAGTTCTGCATAATCTTTCCATTGGGCCTAAGTCTGTACTATTTAGCCCAGGGATTGAACTCACAATTACTATGCAAGTAAATTCATGAACCAACACTTTAATCCATTAGATCATTGTCATATGGGATTTTTATTTAACAAGAACAATCTACCCCTGTAAATTAAATAAAGGGCTCAGGGCAATCTTAGACCTTTGGGCCTGCAAAAAAATGGAATATTAAAAGGATGGTTTTTCCTTGACACTGCTATTAATTTAACTACGTTCACACCTCAGCAATGTTTTAAAAAGTGATGATTAGAATGGAAATAAAGCCTAAACACAAGATGAAAGTGAATTTAAACATTTTTGTTCTTGAGAATTTACAATAAAAATATTAAACACTATTTATTTATTAGATTGTTTACAAGAATAATTTTATATAACATTCTAAAAACTAATACAATTGCATTAAAACTAATGCAATGCAATATTTATCATTTACCAATTTATAAAGAAATAAATATAAAAACAATTTATTATTCATAAATTTATAAACATTTACTAAATTATTCAAATATGTGAATCAACTATAAAGAAATCCTTATCATTTTATAAAGTTTAAATCAATTGACAATTAGCCAATGTTTTGCCAACCATTCCAATAAACAATCTAATAAATAAATAGAGTTTATTATTTTTGTTGTAAATTCTCAAGAACAAAGAAAATGTATAAATTCACTTTCATATGTTCAGGTTTTATTAAAATTCTAATCATCATTTTTTAAAACAATGAACATTGTCAAGGAGTGAAGGTAGTTAAAATAATAGTGGTGTCAAGGGAAAAACCTTCCTATTGACAATTCTTTTTTGTGTGTGCACAGACGTCCAACACTGGCAGGTTCAGTTTAAAGTTTCCAGAGGGTTACCTAGATTAGTACACACTTGGATATAGCTGGAAGGCACAAAGGCTGAAACGTTGTGATAATAACAATAAAAATGAGGAATGAATGTAATTAATGTAAATGATAACTTGTCATCCAAGCCATAGATTCTATTTAATAGGCTCACTAATTAATATGAGCTAAATCTTGGAGAAACAAAACAAATTAAGTAAATATTTGTAATAATTTACTTTGCACCACCAAGCTGTTTGGGTCAGTATAAACAAACCAAAGTATCTTTTTGCATGGTAATTAATGCTTCATGCACCAGGTAGGTAATATCTGCAGTGAGCAGCCTTTTAACATAGTTACAATTACATGTCCTTTGGTAAATGTTAAAATTTGAAGCTAGAACTGGAAAATGTAAGTAGTTTATAATGTTATGCAAGAAAGTAATGATACCTGCACTGATTTTGTTCACATGTAGTCACTTAGGAGACTCAAGAAATTCCTAAAACATCAATGAATATTAAAGATTACAATAAGTATATAGCCTCTTCTCACTTAGACCAGGTTTATGGCCTTATCACATTGAAACATTGGTTTCCATGCAATCACCAAAGTTAAGCAATGCTAAGCATGGTCAGTACCTAGATGGGTGACCACTTGGTGCTGTAAGCTTGGATGTGCAGGTGGTGTAATGGATAATGAATCAGAATTGATAATTGGAGAGCCGAGTTCCAATTCCATTTGGGTTTGTTATATTCACTTATGCACAAATATCCTTGGAAAAGGTATGATTCAACCTCTTCTCCCTCAGCTATGGGTTAATTAGTAAGAGATTTGTATCACTAAACCATTATTATCCCCCCCAAAAGAATTGCATACAAAATATTTAGATTTTGGGTTAAATAACCCATAGAGGTTGATATGAAAAAAAAAAACAAAATTAACCAATCACTTAGTGACTAGGTTCTAGTTCAATGGCCTAGTCACTAATTGAGAAGCTGTACCTGACAAGTTATTTCTGGCATACTACATGTGTAATGGGTTTGTATCAAATAAACTCAGAGAGCTTTAATGTCACTTTTGTATCATTTGTAACATTTCTAAATGCTTATACAGTACAGAAATTTACAAAATAGTAAATGTAATAAACAAATTTTTAAAAAATCAGCTTTCATATTCTGTACATTACTTCAACTTAGATACTGCAAATACAGTAGAAGTAAATTTTTATTTATTCATTTTACATAATTTGATTCTTTTATCATTCTTCAAAATCAATTATGATCAAAATTCTCATACAACATACAATACTGACTAGTTGGATTTCATTTTTTTAAATTTTTATTTTATGAAATTTTATAGCATGTCATAAGTCAGTCATTAAACAGGTAAGTCGTTAAGTGAGAAATTGTATTATTAAATCTATACAGTGGAATATTAGTTATCTGTAAAAGATGGGTGACCATATTTTGTTCAGATAAATGATTCAATCAAAAAAGGGCTTTTGTATAGAATGTATTTAAAAAAAAAACAAGGGAAGTTTAAGGGGTTACTTTTCATTCAATTGAGAAAAATATGTAAAAACAGGATGTTACTTAATTCAAAGAATCATGATGTAATTATAAGAATACATCTATATGGGTACACAGAAAATGCACTGAATTTGTTGAAGATGCTGTAGCATGTGTGCAGAAATTATTAAACCTAGTTATGCCCCTTAATATGGGACATTTTTCTGAATGAGATTATGACATGATGTGAAAAAAAATAGTTCATCATGAGACATGGACATGAGACACACTTTTGAACATGTGAACTTGGAATAAACAACTGTCAAGCAGATCTCCTTGTCTTTCATACCAAAACACTTCATGTGGAAATATTACAGATGCTGAATTTATGCAAATAAAAAAAAAATCATTGAATTGGTGATTGATCATTTTTTGAGGAAAATATCCAGGATCTGTTGCTTGCAGTTCTTGTGTTAGCATTTGACAAAGATGCACCAATCTAATGTTGGGTTTCATTCATGAAAAATTACAAATGATCAACAGCTTTATTAATGGGGACTTCAGGTGTCAGTATCTGACTTATCATCTCTGCATTAAAATTATTTTAATTCTGTTTAAAGTGGACAAGTGTCATCAAGTTGAGACTTCTTTCTCTTCAGACATTGGAACAGCATATAAACCAACATACTATATCATTTGTAACAGATTTGTGCTCAGGACAAAGTCATAAAATTAAATATTCATGGAACCATGGAATTTTCTTTGATAACCAAATAGCTTATATTGTAAAATTAAATGCCTTTTGTCTAAAAAAAAAAAAAAAAAAAAAAAAATTTTTTTTTTTTTTTTTTAGCAAAACCATTAAAATATTCAGAAGTAAAATTTGGAAAACATGAATAAATATGCCTGCAATAAGACAGAGTGTCAAAAGGACAATTTTTCCCATGATACCACTTTTTTAACTACCTTCACTCTTCAACAATGTTTTGTTTTAAAAAGTGATGATTAGGTTTTATTCCAATTTTAATCATCAATTTTTAAAACAATAAACACTGCTGAAGAGTGAAGGTAGTTAAAAAATATGTATCCTGGGAAAATTTTCCTTTTGACACCATGTCTTATTACAGGCACATTTATCCATGTTTGCCTAAAATTTCTTCTACAGATTAATTTCAATTTGTTTTATTTTTTCCTTTTGATTTGATTTGATTTTTTTAGGGTGTTCCTGAATTGCCAATAATTTTTGAGTTTGATGAGCCAAACATTGTCATTACTGTAACAAACCAAATTTTCCTGGAGGCACCACAAGAGGAAACTGAAGATTACTTGGAAGAAGAAGAAGAAGAACAGAAAGATAAAGATCTTGAAGAACAGCTGCATAATTCAGAAGCAGAAAATGATTCTTAGAATCGGAATTCTTGACTTCTTAGCCAAGTTTTGATTTTTAGAATTTTTATCCGACAAATATATTCTCTGTGATAATGGATGAAAGGATAACTGAATTTTGAATTTGTGTGTGTGTGTGTGTGTGTGTTCTGTAAGTTCACTTAAAAAAGTAAGCTCCAGGTAAGTCCAAAAACTTATGTTTTATATAATTTTTATTAGAGAGGGAGAATTACTTTATTATTATAATTTGAATCTAACAGTCGAATCTTTTTTTTTATTATATATATTCTATTTGATGTTTCAGATATTATTTTATAAATTTTAATATGGCATAGTTTAAAAACAAAGAAAAGGCTGGACACTTTTCTGAATTATAATTTTCATCTAAAAAAAAAAAAAAAAAAAAGGAAAGGAATAATATAAGCAAAAACAGATTGATATAATTTCAGACCCCAAATCCCAAGTGTGTGTATGTATATATATATATATATATATATATATAATTAATAAAAATATAAAATTTATCACTTACATATAAATAAAGCAGAAGGTATTGTGATTTGAGAATTTACATATCATCTTTTTACTTGTGATATAACTGAATAAATATTTTGTATGTATATATATTTATATATATAAATAATGTCTACAAATGTAATGAAAAACATTAGTAAAAGACAAAAGCCCTTTACAAATTATCATATCATTTGGACATTTAGATATACATACAAATATCATATAATAAACATCAATTTTTATTACTCTTTTCCTTCTTACGGCTACAGATTTAATGTAATAGCCTTTCAAGTAACAAAACGCAAAACCTCCTAAATTTTGAAAATGTTATATGTTGACCTATGTTTAATAGAGTCAATATGTTTATATACTTTTAAAGTTTATTCTTTACCAAATTTTAAATAGGTGAATGATACAATAATGTGTCAATGCCTTTTAACTTATAAATTTTGTCTAATATTGATTAGAAAATAAGTACGAAATAACTATCTAGACAGAACTCTCAACAACATAAAACTTAAGATTTTAAAGACTATATAGTTCCTAAATCAGGAATCAGATATCTTATAAATATAGCAGTTTGTATAGTAAATTTGCAAAACAAATTATCTAAAAGATTTAATGAAAAGTTTGTAATTTTAAGCTTGCTATTTTCCAATATACAAAAACAAAAATTATGAAGCTTTTTTTTTTAAAGTCTTTTTCACAATATAAACTCAGCTTAGCCTAGTCTGGTACAGGGCCACAGTCATTGAGTACCAAATGAGAATAAAATTTACTACACTAGCAATAGTTTAGAAATTTGTTTGATAATCACTGGTTAAGTAACTTTAAGTTTCAAATAGACTGGTCAAGATAATTCTTTTTTGGAGGAAAATCCATCTGAGACATTGTTATTCCAATCACCCCTTTTATTAAATATTCACCCTCCTGACCACATTAATTTAGGCTACAAACATTCATGGACAAAGAATTTCATTTGTGAAAATTGTTTTTTAAAATTCCAGCCACTCTGTTTATCATATATTGATGAAATTTTCTATTAACCCTTAATTTACACTGGGAATTTTGAAGAGCAAAGCGTTTCATTACTGAAAATTATGGGGGGGGGTATTATTTGAAAGTCAATAGTAAATAGCTATTTACTAAGCTTAGCATAGTTTAGTTTTGGCACAAGGCCACAGGTATGGAGTAACACAAAAAACTCACTACTCAATAAAAATGGCTTGCAAGACTATCTTGCTAATCATTACCCTATGGTGGGGCTTTCTAGTCTTAAGTATCCAAGGCCTTGTATGATGCTATTCAAGCTTGCTCTTTCTCTAGTTAATAAGGGAGATAAGCATTTCATCCCTCAGTACAAAATTATTTTTAAAATAAAAATTTTAATTGAATTGTTAGACTTTTACATTTAACATTGTAAGCTTCTAAATTTCCTTTTAATAATCTGACATAGAAAATGCTTAAAAACATGTATAGATTGTATGATAATCATTTTATTCTAAAATTTGCAAAAATCCTAGGAGTAAAATATGAAGATAACTTCAAAAACACATTTATTGATATTTGAATAATGAACAAAAATAGGAAATTTTAAAATTTCAGTATTTATTCATATCATTTTTAGAAAATAATATTTTTTTCCACTTTATGTATAACTATAATATAAGAAAGTTATTTCTATTTTGAAGATGATATAAATAAATATGAAAATATTTTTTTTTTTTTAACTTGCCAAGGACTCTTGCTTATCCAAAGTGATTATTCATAAATCCCCATTCATAGCTATTTTTATCATTTATATCTTAAAATTGCTTGATGAACAAATTTCTTTGGAGTAAAATTCTAGTCATATTCTTTTGGTTAGAGGGTGAGTTAGTATTCAGTATCCATTAAAATTTGGTCTTTCTTTATATATGAGGGGGTACAGAAAAAAAAATCTCAAATCAACCCACTTTCCAAAGTTTAAATTATCAAATGTCAGATTTATTTTTGAAAGGGCTGAGAACTTTTCAGCACTCACCTCACATATTTGTCTTTATTTTCTCTTGTTTATGAAAATGTTGTTTTTTTTTTTACAATATTAGTGTTAAAAAAAAAAAAAAGGTATTCATTAGAGGTTAGTTCTTAAGATTTTTTTTTTTTAATGTAAACTTATACAAAACTCACTAAACATTTTAAGAAAGGCCAAAAAAAAAAAAAAAAATCTGTTTTACCAAAATTATACCACTTGGTCATCTTTAGCACTGTAGTTTCACATTTGTTCACCAGATGGAGGTAATGCTTGGCATCATATGCATAACACAGGCATTTGGGTGCTGAAGCTTTTTCTTTCAATTTAGGGAAATCAATGTTTTCTAAATTGGTATCTTGAATTATAGCCCAGGCATCTTAGGGTTAAAAGAAATAGTTGATAGACTATGACACAGCTTTCCAAATTGGACACTTTAGTGCAATTAACTGTTTTTTTTTTATATCAACTAAAGTTTTCATTCAATTATTTTTATATATAAACATTTTCAATCATACATTTGACTTGGCTAACAGAACTTAAGAAATTAGTCACAAAAAATATTTTTAAACAGCATTTCACCAATGCAAAATGTTAGAAAAGCTCTGGTCTATGATAAAATTTTCTGGTATTCATCCTTTGAAATCAGTAAGATTAATATATAATATTGATACATTTTCAGTAAGTGAACAAAAGTTTAAATATTTTCATAAAATTGTATGGAATATATATATATAAAATATTTTCAATTCTCAGTGATAAACCTTGTGTAGATACTTATCACAACTTCAATACTGAGGACTACATTTTTAATTTTTTACTAATATATTTTACCAATTAATATATTCACTTAATTATTCAAACTTACATATTTTCAGTAAGGAATTAAAAATCAATATTTTCAACACATTCAAATTGAACACGTCAAATATTTTAATTATACCATTTTTGTATGCAGTATACAACTTTTAATCAAAGATTTTAACACATTTATATTTTAATATTTGTTTTACACTGACCTCATTAAGCACAAAAGGAAACATTTTTAATGCATTAACACTGATGTTATTCATTTTCTTAAAAGTAACTGTAATAAAATATTGAATTTATATTAAATATACTAAACATGTTTTGATGTTATCAAAGAAGTATTAAGTGTGTGCAAAAGTTTCAAGAACTTTTTGGAAAACTAATGACATTACGAAAAAAACTTTAAATAAAAAATACTACATTACTACTTTTTCCATTTGCCTAATAACTTATCTTTAGTTTTCAAATCGATTTTTTTTCAGAAAATAAAAAAAAAAAAAAATTCAAGATAAATTTAAATGTTTTCAGAAAAATGATAATCCACAGAGAAGTTGACTATTACAGCTAAGCAATTTAGGTGCTATTTGATCATGAGGATTTTTTCCCCACTTAACTATATACTGCTATAGATAAATAATTACAAAAAAAGAGTTCAAGTGAATATTGAATCATTTGATCTACAGCTGCCAATGTGACTGGTTTTCTTTTTTTTTTACTCATTGATGTAGTTTCAGTTTTTATAAGAAAAATGGGATATTTTAATTTTCACTTAGGCATCTTTTTTGTTTTAAATAATTTTGCACTTTTCATATTTGTAGAAAATAACTTAAAAAAAAAAAATCCAAAAAAAATTGTCTCCTTTACTTTTATTGTATTCTGCACTGAGATACTACCCAAAAGTACATAAAAAAATCCACTTTAACACCTATTTTCACTCTTCAATGTAGTCCACTAGTGTGAGCTACCATGTTATCTCATAACAAATAGCTGCAAAAATCTGTACTACATTTGATTGCTGTTCAAAATTTCCCAACTACTGTAAAATTTGAACAGTACCCAAAGTGAATGTAATACAAACATTTGTGATATTGATGTATACATGACCAAGGAGAAACATTAGGAACTAAGTCCTTTTTTTTTTTAAATGGCCAGATTTCTAAAACATCTAGGTAGCACCACTATCGTCTTGAATGCTTCCTTTTTAACAAGATGTGAACTACTGATTTTTACATTTTTGATCCGATTTAAACTGCTACTGGTGGATGTTTAAGTTTTTCAACAGCTTGATGCACATGAAATAACAAGAGGTAAAACAGGTTAATTTGTAACTTTTTTTTTTTTTTACTTTTTATAATTCAGCATGCTTTGATATCTAATATTTTACTAATGAATATTAGGAAAATTGTTCTCTGGTAAGAATACATAGCCTAGATCAGAAATTTGTTTAGAATATCATTGTTTTAATAAGGTAAATCACTCAAAAGAAATCTAAAAAATAAATACTTTTCAATCAGGCAATTGTAAATAATTATATAGGAACTTCAGCTTTCTGAAATTGTTACCACTAAGTCTAGCTAATTCACCAACTAGAGTTGGGAGCCATTTTTTTTATCTTTACAAATACTATTCAGAGACAAGATAAATTTCAATCTGTTTTTTCATAAATGAAAACTTATTAGTGTAA